AAATATTTTTAAATGAATGAAAGTATTTCTTCAAAAAGATTTCTAATTATCTATTTATTTAATACGGACTTATTAATAAAGGTAGTTAACGATAAAAAAAATATTAAGTAGTTATAAAACTTACTATCTTTTATAAATAAATTATCAGAATTTATTTTAAAGCTGTCATGTAAACCTTTTCAGTTTTTCAATTTAGTATAACTGTAATGAAATTCAACATTGCCGGACGAATATCATTATGTTTTGTCCACTTTCCTCTGGCGATTGATGGCAAATTTACATCACAACCAGCCTCATTGGTAATTGTTTCTCTAACCTTAAAATTAAGTGCACTTAAAAAAAAATACGCATCAATTTTTTTTTTTTTATGTATTTAATTTAGATTAAGACCGAGGCATCTTGTAATTGAAGTTTTGTGAGTGGTTGTATTATGATGTGAGCATGCTATGCTATTATACTTTATATTTGCCTTTGATCCACTGATGCTGAGTGAGTTGAGAGTGAAAGATTGAGATAGCCGATCTTAGATTTCACACACAAAACATCACCTTACCTTTGTGCTCTCACAGGCACATCAAACTCAGACCTTGTTACTGCCATTGCTGAGAGAGAAAAGAGTGCAGTGTGGTGGTTTTAAGTTTTGTTAAAACCACGGTTCTTTTACTCCTGAAACCAACACACACTAAAAAGTAAAATAAAAAAAATATATAAAAAAAACACCCATTCTCAAAACACGCGTCTTTATAAGGAGACACCAACAAGCTATACATTCGCACTACTACTACTATCACCACACACTGCTTCTGATGTCTGAATTCTGAATTTTCCCTTGTCTTGTGTCCTATGCTTCTCTCTTTCTCAGTACTGCTCGCTCTGCAACTCCATGCCAATTTTTCAGGGCTCATGATGGACACTTGAACTAGTGGGAAATAAAGAGGGAGAAAGAGCACAGTGAAGAAAAAAGATAACCCCACTAGGCATAAAAGGGCGAGGAGAGAAAAAGAGAGGGGCTTTATGGATTACGTATGAATTATCATCATCACAACCGTAGCTTTTAAGTTTTTATCTTTTACATTTTGGTGGTGAAATGGGATTTTTGGGACCAGTTGAGTGGGTTTTACCTTAGGGGTGTTTGGCCTTTTACTCGTAAGGCACTAATAATTTGAGGTGAAACAGAAGTGAGAGACATAAATGCAGAGAAATTGAAAGGGAGAAATAAAGGTAGCCAAAAGAAGGAACAAAAATACAAACTCTTCTTTGTTCTGCTGTCTGATGCATGCACGTCTGGTCCTTTGATCATGACCACTGAGGGTCTCTTCGCATGTCGTTTTTGAGCCCCATCGTGATTCTATTCTCAGAAACAGGAGAATCGAGGGCGAGAAAGCCGGGGAAAAAAGTCATCTTTCTTTCTTTCCTTCTTTTTCCTTTTTCTTGAACGAAATAAAGCAACTCCTATTTTTCTTCTGATTCTCTAAGTTTTCTCGTTGGTTTTGGATTGGGGGGTCACACAGGAAGAGGTTTCTACTCATGGAAACTTGTTTGCAATTTGCAGTTTTCCCCTTTTCTTCTAATCCTTCACAGAATTTATAGCTTCGGTTTAAAGTCGGTGTTGGTGTTGCCTCTTCTAAAGTATGGCCTGTTTGGTTAGCCAACCTTGTCCTTTCAGGTTATTCCTGTACACACAAACTCAAGCACTGTTATGATATGAGCACTCCTTAAACAACTTAACAAGGTTCTAAACTTGTGGCATATTCTGTGTCTTGGTTTCAGGAAACATAAAAGCAAGCTAAGGTGACTGGTGACTGAGTGAATGAGTTAGTGAGAGAAACAAAACAGGGGTCTAATGGCAGATTCTGGTTCCTCAGAAAAGTACAAGAAATCCGTTTCGTCTTCTTTCTTCAGTTCTCCGAGGTTGTTCACCAATTTCACTCCGAAAGGTTTCCATGAAACGGAAACCATGATGAGCCCTACCTCCATACTTGACAGCAAGCCTTTCTCCGGTTTCAAGAATCCTTTTTGGTCAGAAACAAACAGCCCCAGAACCCCAGGGAGTGAACACAAGCGTCACTGGGACAGATTGGATTCTAAAGGTGTTGGTCTTGGCCTAGTGGACGCTCTTGTCGACGAAGAGAAACACAGTGAAGTGAGTTCGAAACATGAGAGTCGAATGGTTGTTTTTGGATCTCAGCTTAAGATTCAGATTCCTCCAGTGTCTACAACTGAATCATCCAAATTCGTAGCAGAGAAGGGAAATTTTTCCCCTGGGAGTCTGTGTATGGGAAAATCTGCATCCGGGGGTGCTAATTCTCAGCGGATTTTTATGGGATGTCTCTCTGCCAGCGAAATGGAACTCTTTGAGGATTACACTCGTGTGATTTCCCACGGGCCAAACCCGAGAACCACTCACATATTCGATAATTGCATCATCGAAAGTAGCTGCTTCGAACTTGGGTGCTCTGTTAAGGAAGATGGGTGTTTTCCTCATCACACCAATTATCACTCTCGAAGCTTTTTGAGTGTTTGCTTTCACTGCAAAAGAAACCTTGGAGAGGGTAAAGACATCTACATGTACAGGTAATTTCTTATTCTTTATCCCCCCGTAGAAATACTTGTCCAGTTCTTTGTTCTTGAAATAGGAATTTAATCGGCTTTTTCGATTTGAGATGTGAATTGACAGCAAATTTTACTCATTTTTATAGACTAGATGAAACCTCGACTGAAATAATTCTGTTTGCGTCATATAAATTATGGGGAACTATGAAAACTCTGGGAAAAATTACTAGGAAAAACAAAGTCATTTCTTGTAGTATTATTTTTGTTTATTTAGTTTTATTTGGCTTGATCAAGATTAAAAAAATGAAAGAGTTTTACTGCGAGCATATTTGTCAGAACTTATCTGGCACTAGGCTCTAACAGGAATAGCTGACAAAGGATTCAAGTGGTCTATATTTAAAGAAAGGAAAAAAGCTGATATTTCTCATTTGTGTACTGCAAAGTTACTTTAATATCTGATCATCAAACGGTACTACATCTTGAATATATTTCTGCGGGAAATTAAATTGATGTCATAATGGATGGGCCTCGCCTATATCTGCCTAATTTCTTTTTGTCCTCTTCGTATCTTTGAGCTCTTGTCTTAAGTCTCAATGGTTAATAACTTTTTCCATCCGTTCTCTTAAAACAACAAAGTCTGGGAAAATTGTGAATTGAGATATTGTAAACCAGTCCAACTCTCTTTTCTATTTTGGTCAAACACAATTACTTGTTTCGTTACAATATAAAGTATAATATGATGCGATTCTTCATTTGAATCACTGTTTTTACTTTAGGATCAGAAAAAAACTGGTTATGGATAAGAATGAAATGAAAGTGTGATATACTAATTTGTATTAGAGCAGAACTATTAATAAACAGAAGATTTTGAATGAAGCTGGTGATGTTGTAATGCAGGGGTGAGAGAGCATTTTGCAGCAATGAATGCCGGTACCAAGGGATGGTCTTGGAGGAAGAGATGAATAAATTAGAAGGCAGTGATATTTACGGGCCATAGTTTGATTCCTTTAGCCTCCAACGCCCAAAGCCATTCGATCTTTTGCTTGAAAGGGCTTCAGAATAATACCTTCATATTTATTTTTCTAGGACAAAAAATGGTCCTTGGAAATCAGGATCACTGTACCTGGTTTTTCTATTTCTGCTTATGAGTGTCACCCTCTCTGAGATTAGCAATGTAGAAGATAGAAAGGGGAATTGCGGGCAGAGATAGTACTGTAGAGGTGATTTTATTGAAATGATGAATGAATTAGGGGATTGGATTGCTGTTGGGTTGGCCACAGTTTTGTAATGATCCATGTGTATGACTTGATCTTCCATATTATCTTTGTTTATTGTTATATAATAATATAATAGTATTCGAAAGTGATAATGATAATACTATAATGACGCTCATAGGACCAGTGACATCATCTGTAGTAGATTCCCTTCTCTTTTCATATGCTTTGATTGTTTGTGCTTTTAGTATATTTACAGTACATGATGATCGGAGCCGTTGTACTGACCATTTAGATAATCCGATGGTGGATTTGTGTATAGTTTGGAGTGGAGCACATGCTGTAAGGTTTAGGAGGGAACAGTTTTCTGACTTGGTCAGAAGAATGATTCTGTGGCGTTATATTAAGCACAACATTTGTGGCAAAACAAACATGGTAGTAAAACTAATGAGTAAACTCATATCGTAGTTACCCTTCCTTCTTTCTTTCTTTATTTACTTTTCGTTAAAGCCGACCACGTCTCTGTCAATATTTCTTTTTCTTTTTTTTGGAAACTTGCAATTTCTTTTTCGTGCATACTCCAAGCTGGATTTGGTAAGACACATATTTCTGCTCCCAGTAAAGTTTTATTCTTTGTTTACCCTTAACTTAATATTATTTTAAAGTTAAATATGTTTTTAATCTTTAAATTTTAACGTAATTTTCAAATTTTAATATAATCTAAATTTTAAAATTAAATAAATACGACAGTTGACATATATCAAACGTGCGGTTAAGTTTAAATACTAAAAGTATGATTAATTATTTTTTAATTTATCTTGCAAAAGGCTTAAAATCATAAATTTGAGTTGCCAAGATAATTCTCTAAAGTACAATTTTTTGTTTTTTCAGACCTAAAATGTATGTTAAATTCTATAAACTAAAGGAGTAATGTGGTAAACGTGTTCCTTATATATCTCAATAAAAATTTGTTAAAATACAGAGTGAAAATGCTTCAATTGTAAATCTCGAATTTTTTAAGAAAGATTAGGAAAACATGTTTCTATTGTATTCCATTCTTCGTATATACAGCTTTAGCACATTTTTGTTACGTATAAAACGATAGAAAAATAAAAAAATAATGAAACCCATTTTAAAGGCCCAACACAACTTTTAAGGGCTTTGAACCACACTGTTAAAGGCCCTATCCGAACTCCATGTTGGTACACCACAACATCATCCGTGTCTTATTCATTCACACCTCCCACGCACCACACTCACTCACCATAGCTGCTATGCCAGGACGATAGCATCAGTAACATGCTTCAAATTTGAACTCCCTAATTAATTTAATTACACCAATAAATATTTCCATAAAATAAAATGACTTGCGTTTATATTTTGTCTTTATTACCATTTCTACCCTCCAAATTTTCCAACTTTCATCCCTCTCTCACACGCCGCACGCCAATTATCTCTCGTACTCCGCCATTCCGCCGGAGAACGCGTCGGAATCAGCCGGAGATGGAAATGTCCGGCACTTTTCCGAGGTCTAGCTCCTCTCTCCGAATCAGTAGCGAGGATAGCGACCCTTTTTTGCTTTCTCGTATTAGTAAGCTTCAAAATTGAAATTCCTCATCCACGACACATGCAACTTTTAATTTTCTTTTTTGGTCTATAAAGTTTCTATGTGCTTTTGTAAATTTTATCCTTAATGCAATTCATCATGCTTGTGCTGAGTGATGAAGTATTTTATACTGAGCTTGAATTATTTTTTTTAAATCTTTTTTAAATTCGTAAATTCATTTTCAAATATGGTAAAATGGCATCAATGTTGGATTTTGATTTTTGTGGCAGATGCTGGAAAAGATGACGCGTTAACAACTGAGATCGATCTAGAGGCTTCTTCCTCTAGTAAAGTGGCTCCTAGAAAGCACAAATATCGTATGAGCAGCATCAAATTGTTTGGGGTAGAGTTATCCCCTGACAATGTTGCTGTTGCGATGGTGTATTTTGTTCAAGGTGTTTTAGGTCTTGCAAGACTGGCTGTCAACTTTTACTTAAAAGATGATTTGCATTTGGACCCTGCTGAGGTGTGTCTTCTGAACTCGGGGTTTAATATGCTGTTCGGCACATCTTAATTTCATTTTAATTTTATAACATTTGTTCATTTATCTAAGTCAAGTTGTGAATTCTATGTGAACCTTTGCTTGAATCAAATATAGAAACCAAAAGGGCGATGATAGCATTTCCTTGAACTTCCGATCCCTTTTCTTTTTTTATTGAATCAATTATGAACTGATATTTGAAGGACTGACATGTTACACTCATATAATGTTGACTAGGCAGCTGTGATTGCTGGTTTATCTTCTTTACCGTGGCTTGTCAAGCCTCTGTACGGGTTTATTAGGTGAGTCTAAAATCTACTCACCTTTTCCACTCCCCGAAGTGGGTGCTTCATTATTTTCTCAATTTTATTTTATCTATACCGTGGACTGCATTTTCATTATTGAAGTAATTAATGTGGTGTGCAGTGATTCGGTCCCCCTCTTTGGTTATCGAAGAAGGTCATACCTGGTTTTGTCAGGGCTGTTTGGTGCACTCTCATGGAGTTTGATGGCTACTTTTGTTGACAACAAATACAGTGCTGCTTTTTGCATACTTCTTGGATCTTTCTCTGTTGCTTTCTCGGATGTTGTGAGTGTCTCCTACTTAGTTATTCACATATGCTTTTCTCTGGAATAATTTAATTACAGAAATGATACTTGTTGCACATCAATACCAAGCGGAATATCTAACATTGATGTGAAATTACTGAAACACAAGTGTGGGTGAACGGAAAAACTATTAGGATAGAATAGTTTGTAATTAAATGGTAAAAATATATAGATGTAAGGTGATGTATGGATTATCGTTGTTCTTTAATTATGCTGGTGTACTTCCTATCTGCTTTATTTTTATACGTGTTATCTTCAATTGCAAGTACATATATCTTGTAGCAAATGAATGGGAGAATCTTTTATATATATTTTTTCCTGTTAATTAGATGTTGGCTATTTTATGAGTGTAAATGATTGGTGGAATATCCCTTTTTCTTGATGGTTTGCTTATTATATCAATGTTTATGCTATCAATTTATGCCAATAACCTATAATACATAAAAAAAAATCATGTTATCGAAATTCATTTACCTGATCTCCGTCCAATAGTGAATCTTACACGAGTGCAAAGAACCTTGCACAACACAAGAGAGAAAAGAACCAGAAATTAAAAAATTTCATCCAAAATTCTCTTTCCAGAATTCTTCCCAACTGTTTGATATATACAATCCAAGGAATCTTAATTCTTTTTCTTCAGATTTTCCACGTTACTTAACTACCAAGGTACAGGTGATATGAGCCTTGCAGTGTTTGCTCAGGACCAGCGGAAGGGCTAGTATACAGTGACAAGAACCTTATAGAATCACACTACAAAAGCTAATAATTACGGTTGGAGATCCCTGGACCTTCTAAACCTTACAGTTGGATTCCATCCTTCCAATCTGAAACCTAAGTACCATACCCTGCAGTAGGTCGTAACACCCCACCACACTCCGTAGACCCAGCGCCCATATGTGCTGGCTGTGCACTAGCCCTTTGACTAGTCTTGGATGAACACTGCAATGCCAACATCACCATCCATGCCCCTCGTTTGCAGTTGAGAGATATGGTGGAAGGTTCTGATACCAATTGTTGCACTAAACTAGTTTAAATGAAGCAAACAGGAAGAATTGAACAGAAAACTAGGGAAATGTACCCTGGGAGTATTATGGAGTATGCGGGTCAGTATGACCAGGAAGAATTCAGCAAGGTGATTCGAGAGCACCTCTCCTCTCTCCTACAACTTCTAACTTCCCATATTTATAGTCTTATAGATTTNCCCTCTAACTATTGGCCGTCCATCATCCATGAAAGAATCTTTCATGGTGGAGAAAATAAGGAAAGTGGAGAGTGAAAACAAAATAAATATTTTCGGAAATACAATTTATATCTTTTTATCTGTTTAACCTTTATGAAATTTTATTGGTTTCATTTCCTTTTTGTCAACAAGGAACATTTTGGATAAATAGGGACAACTGTCTACTGGTTCTCTTCATTAATGACGTTTTTTTATATAGATTTTATGCATGCTTACAATCACCTCATTTTGTGATTCATGCTTTCATATTATTTGATTAGTTTATGATGTACTATATTTTAAATTTTAATTAGTTAACTCCTTCTATAATCTGGTATTTAGGTTTTCATATTGCACTAAGGTATTAATTTGATACCTAACTGCTATATATATTTTAGTCCTTTTTCAGCTTTGCCTTTTCCAACACCGTGCTCAGTGTATGGATGCAAACTCACCTTATTTTATGTTTTTGAAATTTATATGCCTCTGACATTATACCTGTAGTTTTCTGTCATCTGTAGATTGAAATTGTTCAGAGAACTATTTCAGACACTGCTATGTGCTTTAGGTTGTAGATTCAATGGTTGTGGAGAGGGCACGTGGAGAGTCACAAAGCACCTCGGGATCTCTTCAGTCTTTATGTTGGGGTTCTTCGGCCTTTGGTGGAATTGTGAGCTCGTATTTCAGTGGGTCTTTACTGGATGCATATGGAGTCAGGTACTGAAAGAATTGTGTGAACCAAGATACTTATGATTTCTGATAGCAGTATTTCTTTTTATCTTTTGAATGTTCTTCTAAACTCCAATAACTATATACTGTTGCAGGTTTGTTTTCGGGGTCACATCATTGCTTCCGTTGATAACATCTGTGGTTGCCATTCTTGTAAAAGAACAACCAATGCTCAGTGCAGCTACGGGGCCAAATTTTCTTTTTGCCGGGACAGAGTTTTTGGAAAGTTCAAAACAGAGCATTATTCAGCTGTGGGGTTCTGTGCGACAGCGTAGTGTTTTTCTTCCCACTCTGTTTATTTTCTTGTGGCAAGCAACTCCGCAGTCTGACTCTGCGATGTTCTACTTTACGTATGTTCACTGTTAATATGATCATTATTTTCTTTTATCTGTGAAGAGTTTCCTGTGCTCTTGGTATTCTCTTATCACCTCATTGTATTTACTTCAATTTTAAATGATCCCTTATCCATTTCAGCACAAATTCTCTTGGTTTTACCCCGGAGTTTTTGGGACGTGTCAAGCTTGTTACCTCAGTTGCGTCTCTGCTTGGTGTTGGTATTTATAATGGATTTTTGAAGAATGTCCCTTTACGGAAAATATTTCTTGCAACTACCCTTTTAGGTTCAACACTTGGGATGACTCAGGTTAATTGTATTGTTCAGTTAAATGTATATATTTTTAATGTGAGATGACTGTTCTAAACATCTTTATGTTTTTATTGTCAGGTTTTCCTTGTTACTGGACTAAACCGGAAATTTGGCATTAGTGATGAGTGGTTTGCAATTGGTGATTCATTAATTCTCACTGTTTTGAGTCAGGTTATCATTTTATTCTTCTACTCATTAGTTATATACTACTGGCTCCCGACAAAATATCATTTTTGCTGTAGTTACTAAATCAGGTTATACTGAAAACGAGTTTTCTTGTATTTCATTTATCTTTCGCTATTCAAGCATAAAAACTATTTATATTTTCCACCCTTCTGTTAGAGTCTATTAGTTTCTCACTATAATATTAAATTTTTCAGGGTAAATTTAAGTCTGCTATTGTTGCTACTTTTGAAGCTGCTATTATTTGCTAATGTTAGATGGGAAGTTGTTGTTTTTGTTTACAATGCAAATGCACTAGTAACTTCTAAAAGCGGCCTAAAGCACCAGCTGTTAGCAGTCTTTTTGAAGTAGCTCTTGAGGGATTAATTGTACAATTATATCACATCTTTGCATTTGGAAACGTTAATATCATTATGGTCTTGGGAATTAAAGTCTAAGAAAGTGTGTCAGTGTTAGTTACTTATCATTATTCTTAAATGTTGAATTTATTTTTATTTTTCTTAAATGTAATGTCACTCTGAATCTATATGGTGAGGTTGTTGGGTGCTTCCCAAGTAAAGCATTTGTTTCTAAAATTTTTAGTCTTCAATATGGTATTTGAGTGAGTTTGATTCTGCTCTGCCTGTCTACTCTTCAGATCAAATTTCTGACATTGTCCACTGCTATACTTTTCATTCAGGCCTTTTTGTTCATTGTGGTACTGTTCATCCTCTGTTTGTCTGCTCATCGCAACTGTCGTCCCCTCTGTAGATCAAGAGAGTCTCATGTGTTTTATCTTGGTTCTGTGGAACTTCAGTCTAATGATTTACATGATGCACTAGTGTAATTTTTGTCCTAACTGTTGATCGGAAGTTTTTATTGATTGAATGCATTTCTACGAAGAATTTCCGGGATATTTGAGAGGTCTAGGCTTTATCTGAAACCTAATTCTATTTAACCATATTAATATCTCTTCTCAACCCTCTTAATATCTTTAGGCAGCTACTGATCTGCTAACATATACCCACCTTTAATGGGTCTAAACAGTTACGAGACCGTTTCCCTTGTTTTAATACAACCCCTTGCATTTCATTGAATGTCTATCCTACTCACATAACTAACTAATGGATATCTGATAGAAAATGGTACGACAGCCGTCAGAAAGAACTGATATCACAGCAGTTAGAAAGAACTGGTCTTCTACTGAAAGAAAATAGGGATAAACCCCTAGGAAGCATTACATGATTCCAGATATTATGAGAGGTCTGGATCCAGTCCTTACAGGCTTTGCCAATATCAGATCACCTAAACTGTTTTTAGTTATTCCTGTCTATAACAAATTATTGATCTACTGACATAAACCCACCCTTAATGGGTCTAATAAATTGTTGGCCTGTTCCCCTTGCTTGTACTTTTGTCTAACTAACTAACTAATGCGTATCACATTAAAGTTTCACATGCTTATCACAAATTGGCCCGTTCTCCCCCTAAAGTTTCACGTTGTCCTTACGATAAACAGCTTGTGACTGCTGAAACAAATTCCTACTGGTATTTCAACTGATTTAAGAAGCATGGTCTCCAAGCCAACCAGACCATTTCATCCCAAAACTAACGTTTAATTAACCTGGGACAAACACAATTATGTGAGTGAATCAATTCTTTTATAACACTGTTTTCTATGGCCTTTTTGACCGCGAAACAGTGTTTCCAGTTGCTGCTGAAGAGGTTATGAAGTTCTTCCACCTTATTTTACTGGTTCATGTTCATGTGAAAAAGGAACAATTCAGTTCCTGTGGCTTCCTGTTTTCTATTTCAGCATTTCATTGCATTAATTTTGAAAAGAAACCATTTCTTTCTCTGGTGTTCCTCCAGAATTCCAATTGTTCACCATACTTCTTTCCGTGACTGCATATGATTCTTGTGTTTCTTGCAACGGCGGTTGCTCACATTGATTTCCTCAGTTTCCAATCCCTTTTTGTCCCTCCAATTCTTCTTTTCTTGCTGTTTTTTATTCTTTTTTGATTCATCAGATTTGATTCTTCTTTGCCACCTTGATTCTTTCCTTGGCTCTTGATCTATGGAAATTCATCATTGCTTATTTTATCTTCTTCCTCTGAATCTTGAAGACAAAATCAAATCTTTGGTTGAAAAGCACATAACACAACCTTATCAATGGTAGAAATTGTGACAATTTGGTTGCTACTCCATCGAATCATACAGTTGAGAGTGTCTCCTCTCATTGTCCTCTCGCACTTCAAGTTCCATCAATGTTCTAAATTGATCAACTACCAAAGGTACCACCCTTCCCGTCAAATCTTGGAATCATTTTCACAACCTCCACAAGTCCAAGATTGAAAGCTCGACCTGTTTATAGAACTGAAATCATAACAGTGAGAAATAATGGGTTTTTTATTGGTTGAAATTAGTAAGGTAACCCTATGATACCTGATTCCGGATATCTCAGAGTGCTGTATACACTCTTCGCACTACTTTCTCAATCACAAGTCCCCTAACCTGTTTACAGTTATCCCAATTTATAGGCAGCTACTGGTTTTATAGCATAAACCCACATTTAATGGGCCTATAATAGTTGTAGACCCATTCCCCTTTTTCTAACGCACAAACCCTTGTATTTCTTTCTAACTAATTACTAGGATAACAAATTAATGGCTATCATAAGTATCTATCAATACGTTCCGCCCCCACCTCCCAAGCATTGACCCTGGCCCCATGGTGAATATAGCAATGACAGCTGAAGTTGCTTAGGATTCCAAGTGGTAGGCAGCTACTGGTAACATATACCTACCCTTATGGGGACCGGAACCTGACTATATTTACTAACTTAACTAACTTTTGGGTATCTATCAATATAGTTGCTGGTCAAGTTCCCTTCTTTCTAACATAACCCCATGTATTTCTTTGACTACCTAACTTAGGTAATTGCTATCATGTCTAACTAATGGGTATTTATGATGAACATCTTAGTTGTAAAGTTTACTAGCCACTCATAAAAAGAGGACCTTTCTTTGTAGACTATTTATCTGAGTCGGTGTTGTCCTTCTAAATACATTGATTTTGATATATTAGATAAGTTTTTAATGTATTTTAAAATATCAAAATCACTGTATTTTGAAGGCTCAACACCAAAAATCCAGCAGACAATTGATTAAATTTTATGGCAATTCATAAATTTTGGTGGGTTTCACTACTTATTTTTTTCTCCTGACTTTGTAGTTTTCAATCAATATTAGCCAATTATAAAGTGTGTTGGAGAGCTTGTTATTGGCACTCTTGTAGAAATACTTGGTTTCCATGGATTGGAAGTTCGAATTGTTTCTTCTTTTTTGCGATCGGAAAGGAATTCTTCCGACTTGTTTTTGAACATTCACACCTTTCTTACGGAGAAGTAAATTTAAAGGAGGAATATACCTTTTGTTGTAGTTTTGATAATAATAAATTAAATTTCATCTTTTTTTATGACTGACGACATAATTAAATGTCTATAAAGACCATGAAATATGCAGTACTAACGCGCACCACGTGGATAACTTTCGTGTGCTTTGGTTATACCACGCAACTATTTGTGTATTATCTGTTGTAGCAAAATTTGTCTTGCATCTGATTACTGATTTATTTCAGGCTTCTTTCATGCCCGTTCTTGTGCTAGCAGCAAGATTATGTCCTGAAGGAATGGAGGCAACTCTTTTCGCAACTCTCATGTCTGTATCTAATGGAGGGAGTGTTGTTGGGGGATTGTTAGGGGCGGGCTTGACTCAACTATTTGGAATTACCAAGGACAAATTTGATAACTTGGCACCTCTGATAATCCTGTGCAATCTTAGCTCATTATTGCCTCTACCTCTTCTTGGCCTTCTCCCTGGGAACAATCCTGATGGGAATCCAGATGACGATTCCGATATTGAGATGAAGTGTCATTGATTCTGGTTGTTTGTCCTTGGCTTTTCAGGGACTTGTCTGTCTTTGTCAAGCTATAGCTCTCATTGTTTGCAAGTTCAACAGATGTCACTTAAACTTACAGAAAAAAAATTGTATATGTATATACGATGCTCAAGTTTCTACCATGGGTTTTACCATGACACCGAAGTCGAGTTAAAATCAAAACTGTTTGATTTTGTGGAGAAAAAAGCTTCTAGACAATATGATCGTAGTGACTCAAGATAGTGCTAACCATCAACGACAGAGTGTCAGTCTCGTCAGAACTCTGAACTATCATTCACGGGGTTCTTTTGTAGTGTACTTTCTCCTTTTTGTTTAATCATGCACCCTTTTACTTCTTTGTAAGAACTTGGGGGCTCTGTATTTATTAGCCAATAATCGTGATTCGATAATAGGAATCGCCATTAGGCTGCTTACGTGTTTCTTTAAGCTGTTATACTTAAATCAGAGAACAGGCAACTTATACTTGTTATCTTCTAGCAAATAGAAGATTCACTGGGTCCATGTACTGTTTAAGGTTAAGTAATTTTGCCGAGGTGCTTATGTTCAACATTCTCATCTATAGTAAAATGTAGTAGTAATTTCATATAGTTCTAGACATAAATATTCGCCTGTAATTGTCTAAATAAAGTTCAGAACTTATATTCAGGATTTCAAAGTAAGGAAGAGTGAGTCGATGTTTTATTTATGCTTCATGTCTTAATAGATCGTAATGTGTATAATAAAAGTCGGAAAAGGCGAGGTAATGAAGATGTAATGGAGTGAAGGTCATAAGCTACGTACGTGTACTTTATATGAGTGCTGATACATACGTCACTCTTTTTTATCAAACATTCCAACAACACTGTTACACGTGCTTTTGCTTATTATCATTTTTTAATCTTTTTTCTTGGTTCTTTTTTAATCACTTGTAGTAGGATTGTTGGGTGGATGTTGGAATCATCATAGGTGTCCATTTATCTCCCTCTTTATTAGACAGTCTTTACATTATCGTATCTTTTGTTAATATATGCATGTATTGTCCGTATTAAAGTTTACATGGTTGATTAACCTGTAATGACTTTTACGTCAGTTATTATAAAAAAATGATAAATTTATTATGTACAACAGTTTGTAATTGTAACTAGACGATCATGTTCAAAGAATTTATATAGTTAGCATAAATTATATGTTCATGCTTTATTATCAAGTTTTTAATCAAATGATGACGTGTAGTTATTTTCAATTCTCTAAGACATTTAATTAAAGTTTATTTACTATAGAGATAAAATTGAAATGTTTATTCAGTATTAAAAATAAGATACACACGTCGCAGAACATTTTTATTTCGGTGAAAGATATGAATACGTGATGTTGCTGAAGGATGCAAAAACCTTACTCTCTTTTTTTGCAATGATAGTATAGCGGATTTTACGAAAAAAGAAATTCCAAATTCATTGAATGTTGAATGGTTTTCTTAACCATTTTTCCATCTGGTGTTCCTTCGTCATCACTTATCAAGCAAATTATAATGATACGTTTGAAAGTTCTGGAATGAATAAGATGAGATAAGATAGCAGAAAGAAATAGAATAAAAGAGTTATTAAACGTTATAAAATATTGAATTACACAGACAATGTTTACAAGTTCTGGAAGGTAGATGGAGAAAGATGTTAGGATTATTTTTGAGAAAAAGATTTATCGGAGAGATACAAAGTTTATTAGAAAAATACAACATTAATAATCGATATCATTTTTAATCTAAAACTTTAAAACAATAAATTAATAAATTTAAAACAATAAATTAATAAATTTAAAACAATAAATTAATAGTTTTTGTTTGTGCTGAATGGGACCGGAGAAAACGCCTGCTGTATCCATCCGGAAACACTCCTCCTTCATCGATCGGTCCTTCTCTCTTCGCTCTCCTCGCGCTTGTTCGTAACACAAATGGGTTGACCTGCAGCAAACACTCCGACGCTGAAGTCAGAATGGGCTTTTGCAAGTCTATATAATTATCAAAGAACAGAGAGTTTACCTTCTCCTTTGACTTTTATTTATATGATTTTAGAGAATATTACCCATTAATTTACCTCTTAATGGCTTTCAATGCACACTTTAAATACTCGACAATTACTGTTACCTCATTAACTACACATTCATGAGCATTCAACTGTTGTCTCCAGTCCACAGTTTTATACACTTGCCCGATCGGACATATTGTGCTTAAGAGATCCGATCAGACATATCAGGCTGGGACACCCGATTGGACATATTAGCCTTGCTTCCACCAGCTCGGCCTTGTCCAAACCTTCCCGATCGGTTGCCCGCCCTCGGTAGTAACACATGGTCCCAGTCGTAGCCGGGGACAGGAGGCCAAGCTCGGGGCTTCCCATCCCAAGCGCCGGTTGAGTCCACGTGGAGGGCAACTTCGTCAGGAGCATCACTGTCAACCAGGAGATCGGAGGAATTCCCCGAAGGTGAGGCCCTAGCGTCGGGACCGGTAAAAGCAACTGTAAGATCCTTGAAAAATATTTGTAAGTTAAATACTAGATAAAAAAAAAAAAAAAATTGTCTCCTACTCAATGCATTGCCACCACAATTGGGCTTTGCCGGGTGATATAAAAGATCGAAATCTAGTCATTCATATATTCCATCCATTCTTTGTCGCATGTTCAGCTCATTTTGATCGACAAATACTTTAGACTCTTATGCGGTCACTAAAACTTGGAAACTTGCCCCCTAGAGGTAGTGTTCTCCATTCTTTAATGCAATACTACTGCTGCAAGTTCTATGTAATGCGTGGGTATTCGTTCTCATGCGCCTTTAGGTGCCAGTAGCATAAGCTACAGGTCTCCTACTTCCTTGCATTAGGAACGCACCCCAATCCTTGATATGACGCATCGAAGTAACCTCAAAAGATTTGCTAGAGTCTGGAATGATTTAATACTTGTGCTGAGGTTAGTCGTTTGCTGCTTCATATTCCTCAAAAACTGGCTTCGCACTTTCAGGCCACAGAATGGTTGATCTTTACGAGTTAACTGGAGTTAGAGGGACCTCAATCTTGGAAAAACCCTTCAACAAAACGTCGGTAATAACCGGGCTAATCATACAAAAAAACTTGGACTTCAGTTACAGTTTGCGGCAGATCCCACTTTAGCACAGCTTCCACCTTTGCTGGATCCAATGAATCCTTGAGCAGAGAAATCACATGACCCAAAAATTGTACCTTTCTCTATCCAGAACTCACACTTTGAAAGGTTCCCATAAGTGATGTTTTCTTAAATTCCCAAAGCCACTCTCAAGGTTCTGCATGCTTTTCCTTATCTTGAATAGTACGATAAGAATACGTCTAGAACTCTACCACGAACTTATCAAACATGACCGAAATATTGGTCAGTGTGAGTCCAAAAAATCGCGTGAGCATTCGTCCGCCAAACGGCATTAACCACCGTACTCAAAGTGTCCGCGTTAGCGAGATCTGAATGCGTCTTTGCACATCTTCCGTCTTGACAGAATCTGATGGGTACCCAGATGATCGATCAATTTTGAAAACCCCTTGCTCCTCTCAACTGATCTAATAGATCATCGATTCTTGCAAAGGATATTTGTTCTTGTATTGTAAACTTGTTCAGCTGCGAAATCCACCACACACCTTGAACTTCCATCCTCTTCTTCACCAATATACAGGAGCTCCCCATGCGACACCCTTGGACGGATAAACGTCTTCTCCACCCCACAAGATCTTCGATGTGCTTTTTCAACTCTGACTAGTTCGGCAGGACCATTCTTATGGAGCCATGAACTGGGCCAGCTCCATGCATTAGACTATTTGGGACATCGTCTCTCGGACTCTAGGTGGGTAAAACCTGGTATCTTCTTCTGAAAAACATCAACATATTCTACCAAACGGTCCATGATTTGGTTCTTCAGTATTCGCTCTTTTCTCCTGAGCTAACACCATTAAATCAGGTAGCTCATTCTTGCAATATCCTTCGCAAGTAGACTCGAGTGAGTCTTTAGTTCTAAATCGTTCAAATAGAAACCTCTATCTTTTGATTCCCACAGTCACATAAGAACGTGATGCATGTCAACCAACCATCCTCACAAAATAATGTCTAGATTTTGAAGGGTAAGCATCAAGTCACTTGAACTTGCGTCCATTGCAATTGGATGGGCATCCGACACGACTGAACTAATGGTCGTAACTGGTCCCGATGCTGGTGTAGAAACTACTAATCAAACCCTAGATAAAGCATCGGTAATCCAAGTTCTTTCTAAACATGCTAGGGATTAAAGGAGTGTTGTGGCTTCCAGAGTCAAACAACCATATACGCATTCACCTAACAACTACAGTGTGTGAAGGATAATGTACCTGCTTAGTAGTCCTCTTCTTGCAGAACTATGCGAATAACTCTCCCTGTTGCCCTGGGCTTTTACTTCAGCAGAATCTTGTTGTTGTGGTTCTCCCACCTTCTTTTTCTTGGACAAACATTACGCAAAGTGTCCCGGATCATTGAATGAAACATATTTCCTTCAACGTTTTTCCCCAATAGTTTATGGCAGTCACGTCTGAAATGTGCCCCTCCACACTCAAAACAGCTTCACTGTTCCTCGATATATAATTGTGGTTTGTTCATAAGGTATTTCTTGTTGAATTTCAATTGAAGATTCTCCTTTTGACAAGTCTGGAACTCTACTTGGATCAAACCCAACAATTCTCATCATTCTGGCTGTCTCTACCAATGCTGAACTCTTGTATTTCCAATGGCATAAGTACCTCTTCAGTTCATGCCTTAGTCCTCCTCGATTTTCGACATCTCCATTCTTTGTGATATTCTAGTATTAAAACCTCGAGAGATAATTAAATTTACTACGTACTCTTGTACTGATAACCCTCTTGGTTGTAAGGTCAGAAACTCCGCCCTCCCTTGCAAATTTTGCACTGTTTGGAAAATATTTTTCCAAGAACGTATCTTAAAGTTCTCCCAATCACAGTCTCACCACGAACCGTATTCAAATGTTGCATACTTTCCCACCAATATTCAGCCTCACCCACCAAAAGAAATGATGCATAAGTTAATTTTTGTTCTTCTGAGCAAGTTATTACCGACCAAAATCTTCCTGTTCTGCCTTAGCCAAGAGTCAGCCTCATCAGGAGTAGCCTCCCCATTAAATTTAGTTGGATCATGCCTTAAGAAGTCATTCAAGCTAGAATGATTTTGGTACTTGATCACTTGTTGTTGTTGCCCATCTTTGTCGAGTTTAAATGATTTCTTCAAAAAGATAACAATACAATTTAGCATATGATATCAATTTCCTCCAAAATAGTCATTTTCCATCCTAACCTTAACTAGTTTTACTAAGAATAATAAATTTCACTCCCATAGTCCCAAAATACTTTCGAAAAACCATGCTCTGATCCATAAATGTAAACACCGCAATATTTT